CCCTGTCAGTCACAAAGCAAATGAAAAGCCCTGTGAGGAAACCCAGTTCTCTGAGTAGGAGTGACCCCCCCCCTCCCATGATATCTCACATCAGCCAGATTGTTGAACTATTCTTTACCTCCCAAAGCAGCATGTTTTTCTTTATAATTACCTATCTTTGCTCCCTTAATTACCTATCTTTGGACCCTTTTATTTAACTGTTCATTGCCCTTCCCTGCAATGCTGAAAAGACAACTCAAGGGCCTGTGCTTGTAAAACTACAGTAGATCCTCTTTCTTAGCTGTGCCTTGGATCCACGTAGTTTTAAACAATGGGAATCAGTACTTCTAAACTAAGAACTGCTACTAGAAGTAAATGCCTCCTTCAGCAATGTGTCCTTCTATTATACTGCTTAAAATGAAGGACTTCATAACTGAAATGTTTGTATTACTTGAGAGGTTCTGTTCTCGTTATCCCGTATCCGCTCCTTCACCAGCCGCACAAGAGATGCGATATTGTAAAACTCAGCTTCTTCCAGTACCCCTAAGAAAGGAACCAAAAACAGACAGAAGTTGTTAGTTTATACAATGCTGAATGAAGATGATTCTGCTACATGTGATAAATACTTGCTACTGACTCCAAATCTAGCTGAGATGTGAGACAGTCCCTGGATACCGAATAGACTGTGCCACTGATCTCACCCACCTGGGCTGGGAGAAAATGACCTGTACGCAACTAACTGACTTCCTTTTGTAACCTATGGGACGCTTCAGAAAGATTATTTCCCTTTCCATGGGATTATCTGAAACCTCATGGTACACTCTCTACGTTGTTCTCTCAGCCCCAATAGGGGGAAGTCACCAAAGTGTCTTGCTATGGAGGACTGCAGGCTGCGGAAGGGAGAAGAGACATTGTCCTAGCAGATCTTTAGCTCTGCTGACAGAATCCCTGGAGCTAAGCAGAACAGCGATGGCTTGTGTTACAAGCTGGAGGTCTCTACTTCCAGGACTGTACAGAATCTAATGATTTAGTCCCCATTAGCAAGCATCCTTCTGGGAAACTAACAGTAAATAGCACTACTTGCGCATACAGCTGCATACTGCCACATCAGGAACCCTATGCACTCAGATGAGTTTCTGATAATGGCTGTCAGATGCCTCTATTAAACAGTACTAGCAGCTCTTCCTCTTTATTTTTTTCCTTACCTTCTTCTGCAAGCTCCTTGTTTATGATAAGTTTCCCATGTCGGAGGTAGTTCAGTATCGGACCAAAATATGTGGGATCTCTATCGATGAGATATGCCCCTGTCTCATCCTGGTTAAATAGTGCAAGAAAAAAAAATCAGTTGAAAATGATAAACTGAAGAGTTTCTCTGCGAGAACCTGAATTCCTTTTGCCTGTAGGGTAAGAAAAAGGGTGCCTTAGTGACACCATGCTTAAACCAAGCTTTTTTTCCCCCCCCATCCAGTATGTGACCTAAACTACAAATGTTGCAGCTCACTAATGCCAGCAGAAGCCTCAAATTAAGCACTTACAGATGCAGTTTATATATATATATTCAGAGAAAAGCAGGACTTAGCAGCTTTTCTTCACTGCAATAATAAAAAAAACAAAAGCCAGCAGTCTTGTTCTGTCTGTATTTGTTTTCCAGACTAGTTCAATTCCTCAATCTCTGAGGAGAGAGATTAAATAAAATCTTACTACAAAAGGTAGAAAAGTTTACATTTTCTCAGGACAGCATTTGGATTTCCAGGCCAGGCTTACAGCTGCTGACAGTTAAAGCAGCTTTTTATTTTTCCACTACCAAAAACGCACATTGCAACACACAGGCATCTCTCTGAAGGATCTCTGACAGGCTGGCATACAACAGTTATTGTCATTGAATTATCAACAATTCGCAACCAAAAGCATCTCTCGAATCAGCTTTGAAGTGCTGACGAAGACGGTACCGAAGTCTTTCACGTCACTTCCTGTTATTTTAAAGCAATGTATGTCCTGCCAAAGCAGTTTGTTTTAAAACAATAAAAACCTTACAGTCTCTTCTGAAATGTTGTCTCCTCTATTCACTGACTGATTCAAGGAACGTTATTTTGATTACAGGTAGGATTTAACTTCTGATTAAACTCTTAACTGAGTGAGAAGAGACCTAAATAATTCTCAGTCTAACCTATCTACAAACTATTTACAAAACCCTGAACAGTGGCTCCTATAGAAAACCTGCAACTACATGCCTAACTGTGTTTGCAAAATCCTGATGATAAATTGCAGTGACTCTAAAACTATCATCCAAAGTAAAGAACATGCACTGCTATCTTTCATGAGAGAACAAAACAAAGTGTAAAGAAAACATAAGAACAGCCCCAGAATGAGAAATCATTGCAATCTTGTTTCTAGGAAAGTTTCTTTTTAATTCACTTTCTGCTATAAGTAATCACTGTGGGAAGGTGTCAGTTTGCTGCTAGAGGAAAGTCGTGCCAGAGAGGGAGGTGGAGGGCAAAACTGGTGTCTGCAACATCAGGGCGTTACAGCTACAACGGCAAAAGATGGAGATGATGAAAGTCTCTAACTCCTATTCTTAGGGATGCTGCCAGGGCTGTGGCCGCGTGATAGGATGTGAAGGATGAGGAGATGGGATGCGTCAGAGTGACCTGAGACCCTGTCCCGGGGGAGCGAAGTCTGCCCTGGGCAGAAGCAGTGCAGCCCCTGTCCTGCCCACGGAGGGGGTCAGGGGCACTGGCCCGGGGGACAGCAGGGACTGCTGCGGGGACCAGTCTACCCATGCAGTGGGGTCAGGGGCTGCCGTGGGATCCATCCTGGCCATACAGCAGGGGCAAGAGGGGTGGGCCCTAAGAACGAGTGCCGCCATCCTGGCCATGCAATAGGGTCAGGGGATGCCATAGGGGGGCCATCCTGACCATGCAACAGGGTCAGGAGTTGCTGCGGGGGTGTCATCCTGACCATGCAACAGGGTCAGGGAATGATGGTCCCAAGCACATCGGGACCGGGCTGCCCCCAGCCATACAGCGGGGTCAGGGGGTGCTGGCTTGGGGGCACCAGCAACCGGGGGCACCCTACC